GCGAAGATGCAAGGCCTGCATCCCGCTCTCCGTATCATACTCACTCCCATATCTCATCCCACCACACCAACTCCTTCCCTCCCTTCAGAACTTACTTGCTTCTCATCATGGCCGTCATTTGCAGAGTTTCCGGGTCAAATGATTGCACATACGCGCGCAGCGTCTGCTCCGCCTTCCCTTCCCCTTCCCCCTCCCCCTCCTTTCCCTCCTCCCCCGCACTCTCCCCCTTCACCTCCTCCACCACCTCCTCCGGCGGAAACACCACCTGCTGCGCCCCCTCCTCCCCCTCCGCGTCCCCCTTCGCCACCGCGCTCCCCACGAAGCCCTTTAGCATCCCAATACTTTTCTCCAGCTGGAATCGCTGATCCACGCGTCGCAGAAAATACCCGTACATAATCGACGCCGCATACACCTGCCCTAATCGCAGCTTGCTCGTCCCCACCACCACCCTGTCGTCGTTAATTAAAGCCGCCATGGGGCCCGTCGGACGCGGTCCGAGAATAGTGGCCAAGTGCTCCTTAACCATGTCTAGTGCCTCCTCGGAATGCACGCTGGAGAGCTCTTGCTCTTTAACGGGGACGGTCGGGACGAGGTCCAGGCCGAAGGGTGAAGTGGCGGCCGATGGGAAGAGCGTGGACGACGGGTCGACGGTCACGAAGGGGACTTTCGGGAGGAGCGGCGCGCCGGACTCGATGAACTTTTGGACTATTAGCGCGTACATGACCTCCTTGATGGCGCGCATACGCTCGCTGTTCCGCACCTCCGCCATTCGCCTGCGTTGAGGAAAAGGTAGGGAGTCGGAGCAGCAGCGAGAGGGGCATGACGGTGAGAATTTCAAAAATATGAAATAAACAGTAGGCGAACAGAGCATGGAGGCAAGCTCAAAGATAAGAGGAATTTCAGAATGATGCAATGAAGGAAGCTCAAACAAATGAAGGAATCTTGAAAGAATGGAGGAAACTCAAGCTAAACGTTCAGTACACCCAGTAGAGCTTGCATTGCAGCCACTGAGGCTCGAATTGAGCGGACGGCAGGTGCGAACGGGCATAATGCGTGTTTGCGGTACTCCGCAGTCGCACCAGTAACACAACTTTCTTTGTTCGTTCAGTGTTTAAACCTTGGTGCTATGCTCTTTCTCGCACTGTTCGTTCTACGTTGCCAAGTGCACAGCGCGCGCCATCTATATCAGTTGTAACGGCGTGTCAGTTCAACTCACTTGTAAAGAACGAGGTCGCTGCTCGACTTCTTCGCGCCGCTCTCCTTCGGAGCGTCCGTCGCCTCCGCCTCCGCTGCGAGTTGCTCCAACTGCTGCTCCGCCGCCGCCGGCACCAAATGCGGGTGCGACAGAATCAACTGCTCCAGGAGAATTCCCGAAGGCGACTCGGGACTTAGCGGAGCCGCCTTGGCAGTTTCGTCTTTCGTCTCGGAAGTGTTGTCTGAAGAAGGTGAGCCAGAGTCAGTCGACATGGCGAAAACTCGCGACATGCGGCGAAGCGAAAACGAGCTGTTCCTGCATGAGGTGGTCACTGCAGCTCGCGAAATTCGCAAGCCTGTAATTCCTGAGTTGACGGAATGCCATGACTTGGCGGGTAGACGGCGAGCGGGGTTGATTCTGACATCATTTAGATAGGTTGCGACGGCTGGCGACTGAAGCCGCTGAGCAGCCATGGATGAGGCGTGCGCCATGTTTCTTTACGAGGTGAACTGAGATACGACTGTATCAGTTGACAATGGGCCAAGTTCGCCGGGCGTTCTAAGAAGCAGCCTCGTTATGCAAAAAGATCTGACGCTCGATAGTGGAGTTGACGTGAAGTCTTTCCTTAAGAACGCCAATTCAGGAAGTAGATGACGAAGTTCCAGAGACACAACACACTCGTCCGGAATTCGAGGAGAAATGGAAGCCGAATTCCTGGATTAGGGGGCGTAATGAATGCACAAAAGGTGGATGACAAAAGTTGGAAAAACAGACGGAGAATATAGTCGGAGGTGTGATTGAAGCAGAGGGGCGGAAGGGAGGGTGGAAGAAAGTGAACAGATGACGGAGCGACTGCCAGGAGGCAACTGTGACAGGCGATGGGCGGCAGACAAGCTGACGAAATTTCGAGAAACAGCCAGAGCACACGCAACCGCGTCACCGGCAAAGAATTCTGTCTACGTGGGGGTTGACGACGTGTCTATCGCTCACGTCCAGGGTTGTAGTGTGCGGATTGCGGCATACAAGTGGTACACGTGGTTTCGTGTAGCGATTGTTGGGATGAATAACACGTGGCGTATCGTGCGAAGCTCAAGGAATTCTGTCGTCTTAGCAGGCAGGTGAGACTGCAGACGCTCCGTTAGCTGACCAAGAATCGAGGCACCAACGGCTGCGACATCAATTGGTGTAATCCTTTTTCGAAACAAAAACACGACTAGATATGCGACAGCATTAAAGAATGAACGCTTATCGAGTACGCCTCACCCTTCAAATTCCATGCATGCCATGCCTTGCCAGGTCCCGGCGAATCCTCTCCTCTCCCTCCACCCGTTCTGAATCCTAACCAATCCCTGACTTTCAATTGAGGGGGGAGGGGAAGGGGGGGTGGGGTGGTGCCATGACACAGTCCCAGTACCAAGATTCTAAAAAAGGTGAGAAGCGTTCCAAAGCAGTGAAGTGCGGGATAAGGTACACATCTACCCAACCATCTGTGGAACCACGTCCATACCTGAATATGTGGTGACCAAACGATTTGTGTGATGCAGTCGAGCTTGGTGCTTCACGTTTTGGAGATAACACTTCAAGTTCTAGAAAGGTTATGTACGGTGCTAAAGCTTGTTGCCTTCTCGTCTGTGCCTCGGTGTTCTAATCAATACCTTCCCCAAGCTCTCTGGTTTCTTTATTGACCGCTCTTGGACGTAATACAACCCATTGAGCCGCATTCTCAATAACTTTTTGGACTCCCCTCATAATGACCTGACCATGTGTCCCAATCAACCTTACTGAGATCACACCTCGCCGTTCTCAATCGCTCTGAATATATTCTTTCCACCTCTAATCTCTCTGACACTCACACCGGAGAAACGAGTGTGGATAGCAATTGGTAACTGACACCTTACGATTCAGGTGATTAGGTCCACGTGGTCGAACATCACCGTTGATCCATAATCTATTGTTGAACTTTCGAAATAGTCACATCAGCCTATCTATGTCGATGTTGAATGTCTCAGTAGTTTCATTGTTTTGGGCCCTCTGAAATGGCGATCTCAAACTAGCGCATCTCACACACTCTTCGATTATGAATCGCGGTCCGGGTTACTGGAGAGGCTTCAGGGGTTCCCGAGCAGCGTTTAAGAAGCAGGCCAAGTTCAAGGCGTGCCAGTCGATACTCCTCTGCATTCTCGTCTTCTTTGTTATTCATGTGATCGTAAGCCATCAAAACCGAGGTGAATTTTGAGTCGACTCAAAGTCAACTTTGTCCTTCATGTGATTGTAAGCCACAGTAGTTTGCAAGCATGATCTCCATCGTCGTCCTCTTCCCCCTTGCGTGATCCTTTTCTGATCTGAGCACTCCCAAGTGCAACGCGTTAAACATAGTTGGAGGTTACTGGTTGTAACGAACTACCTCGCGGTCGTCTCGAAGTGTACCTTACCTTGAACCTTGGGAATGGTTCTTTCCTTTATCTCCTTCGCGAAGAATTTTGATACACTGAAACCGCAGACCGATTGAAGCATCCGTAATCCTCTTGGCTCCAAACAGTCAAATGTTTCCTTGATTCATGACCTCGCACAAGCCCTAGCCTTGTATATCTCAAATCCGTTCGCTGCTTCTTTCCTGACGCGTGCTTCGTATCCCTGACACGTCCCTATGACGACTGCCCGTGACACATGTCAGAGGCTCCTTTGTTGTATCCCTGTGTGTGTCCGCAACACACACGTGTCAACTGCGTGTGAACGGATGATATTGGGGTCGGTATTGACGTGACTTTTGGGTCGACTCCTAGACATGTACTCAACGCGTGGCCTTGTAACCTATACTGAATCCGATCATGCGCTATAACGCGTACGTCTTCCCTCCTGTCCCGTTATTGTGCACAGTTCACATCGTCCAAGAGGTCCGCATCAACGCAGGCAGTGAACAAGCTCAAGAGCCTCACCAAGAGACTGCCTGAGGTAAGGGCAAGGGGCAAGGGGGCAAGGGGCAGGGGCAAGGGGCAGGGGTCAAGGATCAGGGGCAAGGGGAAGGAGTCAAGGGGCAGGGGCAATGGGCAGGGGTCAAGTCCACTCGCGTGGCCTTCTTGCATTCGCCCTCTCTACAATCACGTGATTGCTAGAAGAACCGCTTAATGACTCGCACTCCACTCAATTCTTGTTGTCCGTGTGCTGCGCATGTCCATGGCTGTGTGGTTGCTGCTCCGTTCAGGGGGGGGCGAGCAGCCGTTTGGCCACGGCAACGCAGGCCATCCAACAGGAGATCAGTGAGTGGCGCCTCTCCCCTGCCTCCTTCGAATCCGTCCTCGTCGCTTTCTTTCTTCAACCTCCTACTTTATCCGACCTCTTTCCGAATTGCCCTGTGTTGCCCGTCCTGTCCCACTTCAGTGGGCGCAACAGCAATGATTGCCCCTTCACACGCCCCATGCCCCTTCACATCTCTCTCGCACATCCCCTCTCATTCCTTGTTTGCGTCAAACACCTTTAATTGCGTTCTGCACTCAGCACAGCGTGTTTGACTCTCGGAACCGCTCTGCACTCTTTCATCCCACTCTTCCCTCGCTTCCCACTCTTCCCACGCTTCCCACTCTTCCCACTCTTCCCACTCTTCCCACGCTTCCCAAACACTTTTCCCGATCTTTCCAAGATGCGATTTCAAAGTACCAGCTCAAACCCCTCCTCCCCAAACCCGAAAAGGCCCTCCTCATTTCTCACTTCGCTCCTCGAAAAAGCTCTCCACCATAAATCCTTTTGAAAGTGCTTTCTCAGAACACCCGTTCAATCCCCTAGAACCAACTGGGACCCTCCGTCACTCATGCGCCTGTCTTGCCTGACCCTCCCTCCCCCACCAGGTGCGCGGATCACCGAAGCCACCAGCATCACGGCAGACGGCCAGACAGCTTATGGCGACCCAGGTGGCGCTGGGGGAATGGGGGGAGGGGGATTGGGGGGAGGGCAGGCGACAGGTGAGGTGACGGGAGGTGTTGCACGGGGAGTGGGAGGAGGTAGAGGGAATGGATTGAGAGGAGATGTAAGGGCAGAGGTAGGGCGAGGAGCAGAGGAGGGGAGTGGGGTTGAGGTGGAGGAGGAGGAGGAGGAGGAGGAGGAGGAGGAGGAGGGGGATGGGGCTCACCACAGGGACCGAGGGTGGGATGACAGTAGAGGGCGGGAGGAGGGCGCAGGGCAGCAGGAGGGGGGTGGCAAGCAGGAGGGCGGAGGGCAGCAGGAAGGGAGAGGGCAGCATGAGGGGCAAGAGGAGGGGGAGGACGTGGAGGAAGGGCATGGAGAGGGGAAATCGGTGGAGGAGAAGCAGAGGGAGCTGGAGCTGCTACAGGGGCTGCTTAAAGCGGAGATGGACGCGCAGGGTGGGGGGAGATGGAAGGGTGAGGGGAAGGGGGGCCATGGGGGGAAGGAGGGAGGGGGGAATGAGGGGAAAGGATCAAGTGAGGAGAGGGATGATGAGGAAGAGGAGGATCCGGATGAGACGGAGCAATGGGGGGAGGGGGGAGAAAGAGTGGGAGGAACAGGGGAAATGACCGAGAGGGAGAGGAGTGTGAAGGAAGGAGCGACAGATGGAGGTGATGGTGGCGATGGTGGGGATAGCAACAAGATAACGTCTGAGTCGGCAGAGACGGCAGCAGTGGGTGGGGGCGGGGGAACTGCAGGAACACACAATGGTGGGGAGCGTAGGAGAGGGAAGTACGATGAGTGGGAGGAGGAGGGGGCGCTGTCACACTCTCAAGGCGTGGTGGAAGGGCGAGGGTCACGGGCTGCAACGGAGACAGGGAAGGGTAGGGAGATAGGGCGTGAGGATGCAAGCGTGAAGGAGAGGAAGGAAGGGGTGGTGGGGAGTAGGAGTAGGAGTGAGAGTGAGAGTGGGAGTGGGAGTGAGAGTGGGAGTGGGAGTGGGAGTGGGAGTGGGAGTGGGAGTGGGAGTGGGAGTGGGAGTGGGAGTGAGAGTGAGAGTGGGAGTGGGAGTGAGAGTGGGAGTGGGAGTGAGCATGATGAGATAGCGTCCGTGCTGAGAGCGATGGGGCATGCGGTTGGGGATGATGGTGCTGATGCCCATGATGCCCATGATGCCCATGGTGCCCATGATACGGCTGCTGATGCTGATGTTGCGACTACTGATGCCCATCACAGTACGGCTGTTGGCGCTGCTGGCGCTGGTGGCGCTACTGGTGGCACCAACTCGCTGCACGAGGGAAGCACACAGCGTGGTGTGAAGCCGGAGGAGCACCAGCAGTCGGTGCACGAAGGGGAGGGAGTGAGGGAAGAGGGAGCAGACGAGGAGGGAGGGGGAGAAGAGGAGGAAGGCACGGCTGTGGCAGTGGAGAGGGGGCAGTCAGATCAGCGCAAGCAGCTCATGGAGCAGGAGGCCGCCCGACGCAGCATGCCCCTGTCAGGCCACAGAGGAGCCGCAGCAGATGCAGGGCAGGTGGGAGACAGAGGCGCGGCAGGAGATGCAGGGCTGGTAACAGGCGGAGGGCTGGTGGGAGATAGAGGGGTGGGAAGAAACGTGGGACTGGTAGGGGGTGCTGGACGAGAACCAGACGGATCCTTGAGTGCAGAAGCACGAGCAGCTGCAGCAGAGGCCGGAGCAGCGACAGGGTCAAGAGGGGAAGGAACAGTAGTGAGTGAGAGAAAGGAACAGATGGGAGGAAAGCAGGCAGTAACGGGCTGGGGTGGTTTGTCGAGAGGTGAGGGCCTGTCAATGCGTGCTGCCCTGCCCAGGGAAGGGGCGCTGGCAGAGACACGTGTGGCTGGGGCGGGTGTGACTGGGGCAGGTTTTACTGGGGCAGGTGCGACTGGGGCAGGGGCGACTGGGACAGGTTTTCCTGGATTGAGTGTGACAGCGAGACAGCAAGATACAGGTCGAACAGAACATGCAGAGAGAAGAGAGCAAGGCGTCTCTGGGTGGGCAGGATTGTCCGTTAGTGGGGCAGGTTCATCTGTAGGTGGACGGGTGGACGAAGAGGAGGCGAGGAGGGCGGAGCTGCAGCAGCATGGGAGGGCGCACTCAGTGGAGGAGGGGGAGAGGCAACAGGTGCTGCACCAGGCTTACCGTCAGCAGAGACTGCAGCGGCACCAGCTGTGGCAGCAGCAGCAGGACGAGCAGCAGAGGTTTCAGCAGCAGCAACAGCTGCAGCAGCAGCGGCTGCAGCCACTGGAGCAGCATGGGCAGGGTAGTGGTATTGAAGTGGCAGAGACAGGAATAGGAGCAGGGGCAGGAGGAGGAGGAGAGGGCGGGGCAGGTGCAGTGACAGGGATGGCAGGGGGGTTGGCAGCAGGTGTTGCTGCAGGGCCAGCAATCTCCCTGGCCCATCCAGAGGACTTCCTGGGCGAACCTGAAGAAACACCTGAAGAGGCCTTTGAGAGCGCTGCTAGGAAAGCCAAAGCCGCCGCCGCTGCTGCAGCTGCTGCTGCAATTGGGGAGGGAGGGGGAGGGGGAGGAGACGGGGAGGGGGACGAAGGGGGAGCAGGAGGGGGAGGAGAGGAGGCGGGGGGTGGAGTGGGTATGGGAGAAGGGGGTTTGAGGGGAGGGGAGGACGAGGAGGATGGGATGCTTCTGCGGGGGGAGTTCCTGAAGGCTAGGAAGGAGAGTGCTCCCCAGGGGCAGCGAGGGGCGGCGCTTGTGCAGCAGGAGAGGGGACTTGTGCCGCCACAGCAGCAGCAGCTGCAACAGCAGCAACAGCAAGACTTGCAGCAGCAGCAGCTGCAGCAGCAACAAACGGGGACGGCTGCTTGGCAAATGGGAGGTGCTGCTGCTGCTGGTGTTGGTGGTGGTGGTGGCATTGTTGGCGGTGCTGGCGTTGCTGGTGGTGGTGGATGGAGTGCGATGAGAGCAGGTGGGGCGTTTGGTGGAGGGGGAGGGGGTACCTATGGCAAGGGCCCCGAGGAGGTTGTGTCTGGTGCAGGCCGGACTGGCGGCTCAGCTGTTTCTCTTGCTGCTGCTGAAGGAAGAGCAGCTATAGGACCAGCAACAGGAGCAGCAACAGGAGCAGCAACAGGAGCAGCAACAGGAGCAGCAACAGGAGCAGCAACAGGAGCAGCAACAGGAGCAGCAACAGGAGCAGCAACAGGAGCAGCAGCAGGAGCAGCAGCAGGAGCAGCAATGGCAGGGGGAGAAGCAGGACGGGGCGCAGCAGAAGCAGCAACAGCAGGAGTCAAAGCAGTGGAGGTGGAGGAAGAGAGGGGGGAAGTGCAGGTGCCAGTGGTTGTGATTGTATTGAAGCCTCGCGTGGGCAAGTGTGCTCCTGGCACTGCACTCCATCGAGTGCTGCAGGTGGGCATATCCCCATGCCCATGCCCATGCCCATCCCCATCCCCATCCCCATCCCCATCCCCATCCCCATCTCCATCCCCATGCCCATGCCCATGTCCCCCCGCCCTCACAGCAAAACAGTCTAGTGCACCTGGTGGGGCCGAGCGCGTGTTTGTTTGGGCAGTTCTGGGGGCGCCATCCCCGCTTCTTAACACCACCACATTCCCCCTCTCTCCCCCCTCTTCCCCCCTTCTTCTCCCCATCTCTTCCCCATCTCTCCTTCCCCGTCCCCGCCCTCACAGCAAGCCTGGCAGCCCAACAGTAGGGTGCATCTGGTGGGGCTGCGCGAGTATGCAGCAGCAGCGAGCGCCATGGGGGTGGCATTCACGCGCTATGCCTTCTTAAGCCATCGCACCCCCCTCTCTCCACGTTTTCCCCATGCAATCCCCCCTCCATGTAAGCAATTTGTTAGAATTATTAAAAAAAAATAACCCTTCATGCTCCCTCTTCCCTCCTCACAGCAAGCCAGGCAGCGCAACAGTGAGGTGCAACTGGTGGGGCCAAGGGAGTGTGCAGCAGCAGCGGCCGCCCTGGGCGTGGCATTCACACGCCTCACCCTCTTCAACCGTCCCATCCCTCCTCTCTCCCCTCTCTTCCCTGCACAGCAAGCCCGGCAGCGCAACAGTGAGGTGCATCTGGTGGGGCCGAGGGAGTGTGCAGCAGCAGCGAGCGCCATGGGCGTTGCATTCACACGCTACGCCCTCTTCAACCAAACCATCTCCGCCTTCCGCTCCTCCTTCGGCACTCCTCGCACCGACCTCGTGAGTTCCTCTTTTTTTTTTTCCAAGGTGTTTTTGGGAATTCTCCATAGCATCCTGCAGCAGCAATGATGGCCCTGGGGGGTGGCATTCATTTGCTGCGCCCTCGTCAACGGCTCCATTGCTGTTTTCTGAGTCGCCGCTGTTGGACTCAAAAGCTGAAGCCATGGACGTGGCATTAACTTGACGCGCTCTCTTCAACGGCTGCATCGCTGCTTTTTGAGTCGACTCAAAAGCTGCCACCATGGGGGTGGCATTCACCCCTGATGCCCTCCTTCTGTGCTCCCCGCACAGACGTCGTGAGTTCCTGCTCTCCCTGCCCACACCTGCTTCTCCTCTCTCCTATCCCTCCTTTCCTTCCTCTCCCTCCTCTCCCTTTTCTGCCGCACTCTCTGGTTCTCTGTCCGTATCTGGCTCCCACCTCTCTCCTTACATGTCCCTCCCTCCTCCCTCCTCCTTCCCCCACTTCGTACCCCATTTCCCGCCTTTCCCCCCTCTACCCCCAACCCCCCCCCCCCCCCCCCTTTTTCCGCCGTTCCCCCCCCCCATGCACATCAGGTGCATTGGGTCGTGCTGCATGCCTACATGACTCGCAACAACCTCTCCCACGCCCTCTACCTCGTCCCTGTAACCCCTTGCTCTACCTTCCTCTTGCCCCCCTCTCCTCCTACTCCTCCCCCCCATGCATGCCAGGTGCGCTGGTTCGTGCTGCACGCCTACATGACTCGCACCAACCTCTCCCACGCCCTCTACCTCTCCCTGGACGTCCTTCTCTTCGCCAACGCCACCGAAGCTATCAACCAGGTTCGGCACCTGAATCTCGCTTCTTAGTCCACCCAACAGTACTTTCTGCACCTAGACCCTAAACCTGGAACCTCGTCCCTTCAGGTTGATCCTTCTGCTGGCTTCCCCCACTCCGCGATTCCCCTCTCTTCCTTCCCCCCCGTTACTCTCTTACTCTCTCCACCTCCTCGGCCGAACCATCCCCACGTTTCCCCCTTTCCCCCCCCTCACCCTTCCCCCTCCCCCCTACCCCAGCTGTACCTCCCCCACGAGCGCCACATGCTCCTCCCCCAGTCCTTCCCTGGCACGCGCCCCCCCCGCCGCACCCCCTCCCCCCTGCGCACGCCCATCGAGGCGCACACGGCGGGTTGGTCCAGAGAGGGCCTGGCGGATTTCCTGAGATTCGTGCGCGTGTTTGTGGCGCAAGGGGTGCTGGGTGGGGGGGAGGAGACTGCTGCAGAGCGGCTTAAGAATCCGGTGAGTTGAGTTGGTGGGGGGAATTTCCCCACGCTTTAGCCCACCGACCCCCCGCACACGCCCATGGAGGCGCACACAGCGGGGTGGTCCAGAGAGGGCCTGGCAGACTTTCTGAGATTCGTGCGCGTGTTTGTGGCTCAACACAAGGGGTGCTGGGTGGGGGGATAGGACCTCTGTGGAGCGACTGGAAAACCCGGTGAGTTGGTGTGGGTGGGGCATTTTCCAATGCCGTAACCCCCCACTCCCCCGCACACACCCATCAAGGCGCACACAGCCGGGGGGTCTCACAATGCATGCTAACAGGCTCCTGAGAGTGTTGCTCCCCTACAGTCTCTCACCTTCCCCCATCCTTTCCCCCCACGCCCCCAGGACTACTCGGACGCCACCATGCTGGGATGGTACGCGCGCCATGCCTGCTGGCACACCCCTGGCAGCGCTGCTGCTTCATCGTCACTCATTCCCACCCACCAATACCCTCTCCCACTCCCCCAGGACTACTCTGTCGCCACCATGCTGGGATGGGATGGTGTGCCCACCATGCATGCTGACACGCCCCTGACAACGCCGAGGCCGTTCCTGCATGTGCGGCTGAGCCGTGCCGTGGGATCTCTCTCTCTAACTCTTAATCAGTCTCGTTCCCACCCACCCACCATGCTCCCCATGCCCTCAGGACTACTCGGATGCCACCATGCTGGGATGGTACGCCCACCATGGATGCTGGCACACCCCTGAAAACGCCGAGGCCACTCCTGCATGTATAGCAGAGCCGTGCTGTGGGATCACCAGTGAGAGGGCTGCCAGGCTGGCTGGCCACTTCACGCCCCGGTGAGTGGAGGGTACTGGAAGGGATAGAGTAGGAGGGGCATAGAGTAGAAAGTGGAGAGGAATGGGTGGAGTATGGGGGTGGGAGGTTAGGAACGAATGTCTGTGGGCCTTGTTTGTCTGCATTGGTATATATCTCTCTCTTTCTCTCTCATCCCTTAACATGTCCAGGTTTAATGTATCGAGCTTGCTGCAGCCTCGCCGATGCCGACCCACATCGTGGTCAGACGACGGGTGGTGTGTTTTCTCGGTTTATCCATTCGCTCCGTCTGCAAGTGACACGTCAGCATCTGGAGGGAATTTCCAGCCAGCTCAGCGCCTCTCGTTTCATCCTAAACAAGGCACAAGGCTTCCGCGCTCAGCCAAGTATCGGTATTTCAATTTCTGGAAGCCAAGAGGGGATGATGGAGAGGTGGTGAAAGGTCCAGGTGTGAATGGGGTGCAGTTTTTGTCAGTGCGCTTTGCGGGCGACACTGCAAATCAGATTATTGCAGACCCGGAAACCACATGGGGAGCTGCTGAGTGGTCCAATGAGAATCAGTCTGGAATTCTTAGAGTAGGGACTGACGATGGGGTAAGGATGAAGGATAAATATTAATGCTAGTTGGTGCTAGGTAATGCAAGGTCTTATTATTAGAACACTGTGCGGTAAAGGTACAAGATAACGAGCCGAAAGAAACGCGTATCTTTCCGGAGTCAAGCTTTCGCCACGTCAGCAACCTGTTTTTGGTAGCTGCCGCATATCCCGGATGTACAGCGTTATTAGAACACTGTACGGTAAAGGTAGTGCAATTTAACGAGCCGAAAAGAAAGGGAAAATATGCCACACGTAATCAACAAGGGTCTCGATAATTTGTTTGGTAAATAAATAACGGGTACGGTCACTGGAAAGGGTGTTCTCACGTGTTTGATAAAACGTTTCACGGAATCAGTCACAATCAACTGGGAAAAAATAACGCGAATGGTCACAGATGAAACTCCCGCCCAAAAAAGATAATACCCAAAACGAACCTGGATGCATTATTCGGATGAATCAACCCTGAACACAATTCGCCAGGTGTTTAGGGTTGATCCGTTCCCAAACCGCATTCTATTCCGATTGGGTTTAGTTTTTCCAGAAGTTAGCTGATTGGTTGGACGCAAGCGGGGAATATTGTAGAGTTTCAAGATTTTTTGGCGGGAGTTACATGTGTGACCATTCGCGTGATTTTTTACCTGTTGTTAGTGACTGAATCCGTGACCCCACTTACCAGACCCGTCAGGAAACCCGATACAGTGACCGTACACGTTTTTTTTGGTACCATTCACGTTATCGGGTCCCATGTTCGTTACGTGTGGCATATTTTCCCGAAAAGAAACGCGTATCTTTTCGGAGTCAAGCTTTCGCCACATCAGCAACCTGTTGTTGGTAGCTGCCGCATATCCCGGATGTACAGCGTGGCAGGTTTAGCCACCAATACAGCATGTGTCAGCCATACACCGTCACGCTGTGCTCTTTCCGCGTGTGAGTGAATAAATGTCGTCCAACGAGAATTACAGCAGCCACAGCAAGTCGACGAATGACTGCAAGGGAAAGAAACGGTCAGCAACCCTTGAGAAGCCATGTTGACGAAACATAATCCCCTGAGCTGCCTGAACGCGAAACTAATGCAACACTGGAAACCTGGTAACCGTGAGTCGCAAAGGTCGGTATGTGACAAATTCGTTGTCTTTCCACTCAACCTCAGTCCAGTCTGCCAGCGCAGCACCAGCCACCGCAACCACCACCTTTTTTGCTGCACATTTTGTGGAAGGGCGCGCTGCTAGCCTACTGCTGCTGGCGCCTAGAATTCGTAAGCGCGTTCCCAGGGGTGTCTCTGGCAGTGCCTGCTCCGAGATCCAATTCGATCATAATCATAACCACCACGTTGACGTCTGAACCAAGGCCCTTGGTAGTGCTTACTGCTGCGCGCACAGCGCAGCGTTACCCCTCGTCGGTCGTCGGCTCAGGACAGAGTAAGCGCGTTGCGCTGCAGGCAAGTTTTCCGCCAGTATGGCGTCATCTCTCGCTGCGGCTTGCGGCGCTGACGTCGTCGTTCCCGCTCGTTCGCACACAGTTTCTTCGCAATGTTCGCTCTCGTCGTCTTCAGCGATCGCAGTCGTTCAGCGCCGTCGCACGCTCCCGGACGCCGGTCGTCGCGAAACGACTTTTTGGGGATCTCGAGATTTGCTGAATATGAAGAGAATCCCAAATACCAAGATCTCGAATTTCAGCCGTGACGCGGCTCGATCGACTGTGACACGCGCACAGGGGGATGGCGGAGTGGGAGCGGGAGAGGCGGGCGGTGCGGCTTCCGGTGGAGCGGCAACGTCTTCGAGCGACTCGTTTCTGGGGATGTGGAAACGCGCGCAGGAGAAAGAGCGCGAGGCGATTCGCGAGGCCGAGGCGCGGAAGCGCGCGGAGGAGCAAGGCGCGGCGCAAGCGGCGGGGGACGAGCAGGGGAAGGAAGAGGGGGAGAGCGCGGATGTGCTGAAAAAGCGCGAAGCGCAGTTCCTTCAAATGCTTGAGGTACGGTGTTCTAGCGATATCGAGGTATGGTTATATCGTGACGATATGGAGTTACGACACGTCTAGATCGACTTTTACAACGTCTTGTTCCGGAAAAGGAAAAGAAAAATGAAAATGAAAAAAAGGAAGAAGACGGGTTACCCCCGGTCCCCATTCCTCGTCCCCTTAACGCGCTCGCACAAGTCAGGCCGCCAAGGGATTCCGCCGAGCGGCGCAGGGGGCAGCAGTCAGTGTCTGGCCGCGCAGCCGCGCGCACTTCTGGCGGAGGCGGAAGAGCGCGGAATAGACTGAGTCGGTGTCTTGCGCGTTTTAACTCCCCTCGCTCAAGCTTGTCGTTCCGCCCGCCCGCGCTCGCTCACACCCCCAGGTGCGCAAGCAAACTTGCTATCTTGTACCTCTCTCTCCTCCCGCCCTTCCGCCCGCCCGGTCGCGCGCGCGCACAGGTGCCCAAGGAGGTGCGGCAGGAGGCGGAGCGGAAGGTGGTGGTGGACCGCGCAGCCGCGGCGCTGGCGGCGGCGCAGGCGCTGCTGGTGGAGGCGGAGGAGCGCGCGCGCAAGGAAAGGCAGGCGTCGCGCGGGCGGCGGCTGGCGGGTGCGGGCGACCAGGGGGCGACGAGCAGCGTCTGGGGCGGCAAGTCCTTGTCCGTAGTGAAAGAAAAGGGCGGGAAGAAGGGCGGGGAAGGAAAGGCGGCAGCAGGAGGGGCAGTAACGAGAAAGGCAGCACCAGCGGGCGGCACAGGTGGTGGTGGTGGTGCTGCAGGTGCAGCAGCAGCAGGAGGGTTAGGTGGCTTCTGGAAGGCAATCCCTAGCCGAGCCAAAAAGTCATCTTCTGGCTCTTCCTCCTCCTCACCACCCGCAGCAGCACCAGCAGCAGCTGCCCCAGTAGCCAAGCCAGCCTCCCCTGGTGCTGCGAAGCAGCCTTCCTCAGGCGCCTCCTCAGGTGTTTCTTCAGGTGGATCCAGCAGTCCAGGGCCCAGCTTCTGGGAGTGGGCGCCCCCATCCGACACTGGGGGCGCTGGGGGAGCAGGTCTCCCGCAGCTGCAGCCAGCTGCTCCGAAACCTGCCCGTTCAGCTGCCCAGCGCGCTACAGTGACCATCGCGGACCCCCAGCCGCAGCTGCTAGAGGCGCTGCTGCTGCCCTTCGAAAGCGCCGTCGCGCCCACCAAGCCCGCCAGCGCTGGCGAAGCTTCTACCACTGCTGGTGGCACTGGCGGCGTCGGTGGCGCCGGTGGTGTTGGTGGCGTTGGCAGTGCCGCTGGTGGTGCTGCCGGTGCTGCTGGTTCTGCTGCTGCTGCTGCAAGCCCTGCGGCTGTTGCCTCTGCAGCAGCGCTCGATCTCGCCTCCGCCTCCCCTTTCCTCGCGTCTGACGTGGGCCTGCCGCCCCTGCAGTCCGCTCTTGAGGCCCAGCGCGGCATCAAAGAGGCTCTCCAAGCCGTCTTTGCTTCGGACGCTGCCGAACCTGCAGGCTCGGAAGCCGACGGGGCGACCGTGGCTGCGGACGGGTCGCGGTGGTGGAAGGAATCGGGGACTGATGTTCGGGAGGGCGGGGAGGTTTGCGATTGGACGGTGGTTCGGGGGGTGAGCGCGGATGGGTCGGTGGAGTGGGAGGAGAAGTGGTGGGAGGCTAGCGATGAGTTTGACTTTAAAGAGCTTGGAGCGGAGAAGTCTGGGAGGGATGCGAATGGAGCCGTGTGGAGGGAGACGTGGAGGGAGGCGACTTGGCAGGACTCTAAGACTGGGCTGATGCATATTGAGAAGACGGCGGATAAGTGGGGGCAGAATGGGGAGGGCGGCGAGTGGCATGAGAAGTGGTGGGAGCACTATGATGCGACGGGGCGGGCGGAGAAGTGGGCGGATAAGTGGAGCAAGATTGATATGTACACACCGCTGTATGACGGGCACGCACACACGTGGCATGAGAGGTGAGGCTGGTACAAGCCAAGGTTCTGAGGCGCCGCGATAGTACAGTGACATGATTGGCATGATTGGCATGATTGACATGATTGGCATGATTGGCATGATTGACATGATTGGCATGATTGACATGCTTGACATGCTTGACATGATTGACATGTACACGTCACTGCTGATTGGCACGCGCACACATGGCATGAGAGTTGAGCGAGGAGGGCACGAAAGCGGGTCAGGCTAGAGAGTGGGGTGGTTATGGTGAGTTGTGCGGAAGAATCAAGGGGAAAGAGCAGGTGAGTAGGGGTAGCAGGTTAGCAGGTGAGTAGGGGTAGCAGGTTAGCAGGTGAGTAGGGGTAGCAGGTTAGCAGGTGAGTAGGGGTAGCAGGTTAGCAGGTGAGTAGGGGTAGCAGGTTAGCAGGTGAGTAGGGGTAGCAGGTTAGCAGGTGAGTAGGGGTAGCAGGTTAGCAGGTGAGTAGGGGTAGCAGGTGATGACAGGAGATGTGCATGAGGTGGAGAGCAGCGTGTAAGTGTGGTGGCTGGCAGGTGCCTCAAAATGACAGGAGAGGTGCATGAGGTGGAGAGCAGCGTGTAAGTGTGGTGGCTGGCAGGTGCCTTGCCTTGCCAACTGATCTGATGGTACTTCTATTTCCCTCCCTTTTCACTTCCCCCCTTCCACCCCCCTTCCTCCCTCCGCATATCCCAGGTGGGGGGAGGAGTATGACGGCAGGGGAGCAGCGTCCAAGCGGTGTGACAAGTGGGCGAAACGTTTCGAGGGGCACAACGGGTTTGGCAACCAGCTGTGGGCCAAGTGGGACGAGAAATTCAACCGCGATAAGACCGGGTACCGGCAGGGCGAAACCTGGTGGCAGCTGCCCTCTCCCGTTTCCCCTCCCTTTTCGCTCCCCTCCTTCTCCTCTTCACCCCTCGCCTTATTGCAGGTGGGGGGAGGAGTACGACGGCCGGGGTGCGGCCTCAAAATGGTGTGACAAGTGGGCAGAGCGGTTCGAAGGGCACGACGGGTATGGCAACCAGCTGTGGGCCAAGTGGGGCGACAAGTGGGACGAGAAATTCAACCGAGACAAGACCGGGTACCGGCAGGGAGAAACCTGGTGGCAGGGGTCGGGAGGGGACGATGCACCCCGGTGGAACAAGGTGTGGAGCGAGGGGCATGACGGGTCGGGATGGGTGCATAAGAAGGGCGGCGCGAGTAGCGGTGAAGGGTGGGATGTAAGGGAGTGGATGGACACGTGGTTTGATGCGTTCCCACACTTTGGGTTCAGGCAGTGCTTGGAGAACTCGAGGAGGCTCATGGAGGTGGGCAGGCGGCAGGGCAAGAAGCAGAAGTAGAGGAGGGGGTGAAACAGGGAAGGGGATGGTGAGTGAGTCTACGGTTGATTGGCGTTGGCCCCACTGTGACTTAGAGGTGTATTATCAGTCGACTCAACAGCCAGCTTGGGTTCAGCCACTTGGAGAATCTGAAAGAGTTGATGGAGGTGGGCAGGTGGCAGGGCAAAAAGAAGTATGAGGGGTGGAAAAGGGGGAGAGGAGTGGGATGTGAAGCAGGGAGGGACGTGGGTGCGGAGTGTTGCAATCCCCCCACTTTAGGTTCAAGCAGTGCAGGGAAAACTCGAGGTCGATGGAGGTGGGGTGGGGAGGCTGCGGAGGAAGGGAGAGGTGGTTATGGATTTGCCGGTTGGTCACAGCGCATTCCTGTGGATGTGGCTCGTTGCACTGCTGTGGGCATGCATATGGATGTGGCTCGTTGCACTGCTGTGGGCATGCATATGGATGTGGCTCGTTGCACTGCTGTGGGCATGCATATGGACGTGGCTCGTTGCACTGCTGTGGGCATGCATATGGACGTGGCTCGTTGCACTGCTGTGGGCATGCATATGTCTGCTGCTGGTCTGCTTGTGATGGATGGTGGGATGGTATGGTACGGTATCATATGATGGGATGGGATGTGATGTGGCTGAAGGCCGTTGTGTTGTGGGATGTTGCATCATGCATGACATCACATCGCAACATTGATATAAAGTTGATGCATGTGGTGAGGACTTGCTACATGCTTTACATATTTAATTTGCTTGAACATCACATCCATCTATCACAGAAGCTTTTTGTAACCTGTTAAAAAGAGCTGGAGGGTGGTAGTACACCTCGGCACGCCTAGTCCTTGCCCTGATCTAGTCAACCACCACACCACACCACACCACACCACACCACACCACACCACACCACACCACACCACACACAACCTGATCATGCCTCACAGTCTGCAAACTGCAGGTTGGGCTTTAAGCTCCTTCCACTTGAAAAAAAAACAGCTACAGTACTTGGGTTATTGTGATGCAACATCCTGTCAAGCCCACTTCATTGCTTTTTGCCACCGATGCCGATAACCTTGAAGGCACCGTAGGCTGTGGCGCCCAGGAGGAAAACAGCCACCGTGGGGGAGAAGGCCGGATACACCACGTCCATGGCCATCTGATCCAGCTCCTCTGATAGGAAACCTGGGAGGAGACAAGGGGAGATGGGTGAGAGGGCAAACAGGAAAGGGGTTTCTGAGTCGCCAAGAAGCCTCCTAAGGCAGGATACACCACATCCATGGCCATCTGATCCAGCTCCTCCGATAGGAAGCCTGGGAGGGATTGGGGAAAACCGGGGAGGGGAGGGGAGGGGAGTGGAGGGAAGGGGAGAGAATTGGAGAGGCTTGGGGCGATGAGATGGTATGGAGATAGGCCAACGTACACCATGCTCATTGCCGTCTGATCCAACTCCTCCAATGGGAAGCCTGGGAGGTGTGAGGGGGACAGGGGTGAGGGACGAGGGGGAGGGGTGAGAAACGACGGGGAAGGGGATAGGGGGGAGCGGAAGCAAGCACTTGGGATGGTGAGAAGGTATGGAGGGAGAAAGTCGGGAGCACCACATTTCGCCAGTTTCCAATCGATAATAAATCTGTTTTTTCGATTAATAAAACATTGATTTACACCCATTCTTTTCATTGTTTCATTAGTCACAAGTTCAGAGGGGAGTGGAGGGGTGGGAAAGGAGAGGATTCGTTGAGGATGGTGAGATGAGATGGAGAGAAAGCAGGTGGGGCAAGAGGCAAGTGGTGTGACAGGAGGAGAGGAGGGGATGGGAGGGGAGAGGGGGGGAGGGGAGGAGAGGGGAGGGGAGTGGAGGGAGGGGAGCGGAGGGAGGGGAGGGGAGAGAGGGGAGGGGAGTGGAGGGAGGGGAGCGGAGGGAGGGGAGGGGAGAGAGGGGAGGGGAGGCCAGGGGAGAGAGGGGGGGGAGGGGAGGAGACGGGAGGGGAGGAGGGAGGAAAATGAAGGAGAGGGGAGGAGACGGAGGAGTTTGGAACAGAGGGGATCAGAAGGCTTAGGTCCAGGTGGCGAGAAGGCACAAATACACCCACCATGGCCAGCTTGTCCGACAATTCTCACCATTTCCCACCGCTTCTCACCGCTTCTTACCACTTCCTACCACTTCTCGCCCTGGATTTGAGGAACTTTCCAGTATGACAAACACAGCAATCAACCCCCGGGAGCCCCTTCTTGTTCCACTGCTCTCTAACTCACCGCCATGCCCTTTACAACAAAAAGCTTCCCTATGAGCTGCCTTAGTAAGCGACTCTCAGAAGGCTTTCTGTGCACTCATAGGGGACCTTTTTCTCGGAAGGTTCAATCAAACCATCCACTCCAATCCCCCCCGATCCCCAACGTCCCCTTCCGCCCGATCTCTTCCCCTCGCCCTTCCTCCCCAGCCGCATTTTCGTAGTCTCCCGCACAGCAGTCACCAGCAGCGGCGAGGAAGAGCCCCTCGAGGATGATGAGGACGACCACGAACCCCAGCCACGCCACCACGGCCGTCTCGATAAGCAGCCTCATCAGCCCGCCCGATCAACCCTGCCATCCCCACAATCACCCACCACGCCCCTCCCAACCCTCCCCATTCCACCCACCACCTCCCACCTCCTGCCTTGCGTGCAAGTCTCCCCCCACCTCCCACCCCCATCAAATTTCCCCGCACACACAAGTTTCCTGCACCACACGCACCAGCAGCGGCGAGGAAGAGACCTTCGAGGATGATGAGGACGAAGACGAACCCTAAGGACGCCACCACGGCCGTCTCGATAGGGAGCCTCATCAGCACGCCCGACCCACCCCGGCACCCCCTCAATCCCGCCCCCTTCCATACACACACACAACTCCCCCGCAATGTACGCACCAGCAGCGGCGAGGAAGAGCCCTTCGAGGATGATGAGGACGAAGACGAACCCTAAGGACGCCACCACGGCCGTCTCGATCTCCGCCGCCTTCTTCTCCTCTTCGCCCATCGGCTGAGTGGACAGTAGCGGCTGAGACGGCGCCGGCCGGCGAACCACTGCCGGCTGCTGCGGTGCCTTCCCGAACCCCTTGCCGGCCGCCGCTTTGCCGGCTGCTGGTTCCTTCACTGCTGACGTGGAGTCGGAGGTTTGGGATGGTTCAGGCTCGGCGGAGGCTCGGATGCCTGCATGCCTGGTTGGTCGGAACCGAAGACCCGCATTTAAAGCGGGGTTAGGTACAGGTAGTGAAAAACGACATCTTGAAGAGGTGAGGGATGCAGATGATTGGAGGGGAAGTTTGGCGAGAGACATGGAGACGGCCATGTGGGTTCAATGGAATTGTAAGCGCTAACTTGGAGAAAAAGTAGGCTAGCGACGTTTACGCGGAAACGTCTAGCCCCGAATTGTAGTTTGTCCGTGAAGGAGCTACACCTGACGAGGCCAAGTAGCCAAGCAATGGCTGTGGGCGTTCCGAGCTTGAGAATGCGAGCTTAGATTCTAGAGATAGCGGAAAGGTATGATGACGATCAGATGTCAAACAAGGCATGCTGAGGAGGTGTTCGTGAGATGAATGACCGATACAAACTTCCGTAACGAGAAGAGTACGTTTGTGTCCTCCTAAGTGTCACGTCAGTATCCCCAACACACCACACCACTGAGTACGGGTTGACACTGATTGTTGTATGTACTTTTTTTTCTAGTGTCGGTTCACGCAACACCGCTTCGATTCGTTTTGTAATGGATGACAGACGGATTACAAACGCCAATGGGAAACGAGAACGTAGATATTCCCGAAGCTCACAAACCGATTGTAGGGGCTCCAGTATAGAGGACAAATTTACAATTGCAGCAAGAAAGTACATTACAAATAAACCAGCATTCCTGAGTCTCCCCCTACAGCTTGTTTCTCCAGCATTCCCTGCAAACACAGCTGGATGCACTTAAAGCCGGCGGCCCAAATTGTTCATGCTTTTAAAAGTTGACCAGAGGGAGTTTTTCTGGTGTGGGCTTTGGCGAGAGTTTCCGATTTCGTCTAGGTTCGTTTTTTTCGCGAGACCCAGCCAACCCTCGGTTTTCCCCCTGGTGAGTGAATCTGTCTTCGAAAGTCCCAAATTGCAAGTGCGTGACTTTCAAAAGCTTGGACACTCAACTTCGTCAAGTTTTAAAAACTTGACCCTCGCGGCCCGCAATTTGGGACGCGGGCTTTAAGCTCATTCCTCCTGACTCCATTATGTGAACGGAGACGAATCATTCCGTTTCATGCTTCTTAGGGGTCTCGCTCTGCCCTTCCTCCCTCTTATCCAGACCAGGAGCGAACTTCCCTCCTGCTCGTTCACCAGATTCCTGCCCTCCTGGCTGAATTAGTCGTTCCCCCGTCTCAAACTCCATGTCCAACCTGCCATCACGGTGCACCACAGATATGTAACAGCAGCACCAAGATTATGGCAGATATGTACTACGAAAGGTAACAGACGAAAGTGCTAATTGCACTTGGATCTTCCAACAGAAAGGAAAGAAAAAAAGGTTAAAAAAAAAAAAAAAAAAAAAAAAAAAAAAAAGGAAAGTCAAGGGCACCATACTTAATCTGTTCCTCTGCCTTCTTGGCAGCCGGGCGTGGCTCCTGCTTCACGCGTTCTGCCATGGTCGCACCTGATCGACAACGTCCCTCAGGAGGAAGATCGTGTATCGTCTACTAAGGTGACTATGCGCACGCCGTGCAGCGTTCAGGCTCACAGGATTAACCAGCAACAAGTAGACAAACGCATTTCCTTTCTTTTGAGACATTCCCGAGTGGCCTCATCTTCCCGCGTCGGGTGCCAGCAGTCGTCCATCTCGGAGCAGTCGGGCAATCTGGTTCGGTACCAGAACGTCCAGTTTCGCACTCTTCGCAGCGAATCGCGAATGAAGAAAGTGAACCCGTTCACGTGAATTCGTGCATGCTCGACGCCCCAACTGCTGTGGGCGATTATGTAGACGGCTTGGCTTGGTTGGAATCGCAACTGGGCTTTGCCAGAATGGTGCTTCGCTCATCAAATCCCCCAACACATCACATGGCACAACAACCAGGCAAAAGGCAGAGGAGGGGAAGCGGGAAGCTGAGTTGTACAGTAAATAAGGGAAGCAGGCACTGTACATTGCACGAATAGTACACCTCCAATTTGTCACGCAAAAGCCTGATCCACCTGTTCGGTAAAAGAACATTCTCCTCCAATCTCCCTCGCTCTTTCCTCCCCACGTGGAGGGACCATACAACACAGTTCACCTGTTAGAAGCCCACCCCCAGCCATCTCCATCAGTCCTGCCTGGTTGGCATGGGCAGTACAGCAAACTTTCCCTCCAAGTCCATTTCAGCCATAGCGAGTAATCTGGAGCGTAGCCATAGCCAGTTTTCCAGGAACCGCGGAGTTTTACAACGATCACACAACTCATACTACGCTTGGATGTGAAACCTGAAAGGTCTTTCTGGTTGTGTCGGCGACATTAGCCCAAACGCGCGACAATGCTGAAGGCTGCGACGATTCGCGAGTTTGACAGCAACCGTCGCTCCAAACGAGCTCCCGCGCGAGGTCGTCACGAAAAATCACCCAATGGCAGTCCCTCGAGCTCTCCGACTGCAGCAGCAGCGACAAAAGGAGGAACTGCGAGCTCGGAAGGTTTCACAGCGGCGAAGGAACGTGGTGGTGGTCAAACTACCCATAGTCACGGCCACAGTCACGCACACAGCCATGTCCATCACCATCATTCCCACTACAAACCAAAATGGGCCACTCGGTACGCGCAGCAGTTACTACTGCGTGAGACTCTACGTTTCTCCGCTGAAGTGGGGAGCGCCAATCGTTCTTTTCTGACGTGTCGCATTTTCTGCTTTCCTCCTCACCTCATCTATTCCCCCGCCCCCACTCCCCCCTCCCCTTGTATCCGTTGTACCCGATTCAGTGTGACTCCGTTAACGCAGGAGGAGAAGGACGAGCTGGAGGTGGCGAAGACCCCAGGCCTGCTCGCACCCATGAGCATTTCAGTCAGGCAAATGGTGAGATCCATTGGTGATGCAATGGTGTTATGCGCGACAATCATTGTGAAGTGGAGTATTGACTCTCACTAGGAAAATTTGAGAACATGTTGGCCACAGGCAGGCATAAGCACATTATTCCTGTCACTTCAACAAAACTAAAAAAATCATTCTCAAATCTTTCCCTCCCCCCTGTTATTTCCCTATTCCGGCTCGCAGCCCGACAATCCCGAGGAGTTTGAGAACCTTGGCTCCATGCGCACGCGCTATTCCCCCGCCCTCATCTACCACCTTCTCAGAAACTTCGAGGATGCTCCACGTGTATATAAGAACATCGCCCACTGTGACGTGGACCCACTGGAAGAGCCTGGCACCTTTAGAGTCACACAGCACATCAAGTGGCGGTTTCTGTTTCTCTCTGGCACATTCGCCACCACACTCATCTGCCAGCGCAACGACGCTACTAGATCAGTCAACTTCAAGCTGTACGAATTCCTTCGCCCTTCTCCCTCCTCCACCCCCGCACTCTCTCCCTCTCCCTCTCCCTCTCTATCTCTCTCTCTCCTGTAGTATTGTCTTCCTATGCTGTCTTAACATTCCTGTAGTCTGTGCTGCCCCTCTCTTCAACATTATATCCAGTCACCATCGTTTTTTGTTTCGTTGCTACACTTCACTCCCATCAGAGCTGAGCCTGGCTTCATGAAGGCTTTCAGTGGAGGCTGGACTATTCACGACCTGAGCCCTCCGAAGCCGTCGCCCCTTGCATCTCGATCCACTCCGCCTTCCAAGGTGGCCCTGAAGGCCAGCTTCCTTCAATCGCTGGCTGCAGCACTTCCAGGGGCGGCTGCCACACCAGCTGAAGCAGAAGCACCTTCTGGGCTGCCTGAAGGAGCAGCAAGTGGGAGTTCACCTATTGGATCCCTGATTGAGATGTGGCAGCTGTCTCAGCATGCAATGGTCCCCCCTCGACCACTTTGTGAGTGTTCATTCATGTTGCACGAAGGACCACTCGAGATTTTTCATGGTTGATATCTAACTCGCATCAATCTCTTTTGCATTCCAATAAATGTCATGTCTGTTTCGTGCTTGCTGGTTTTTGCAGTGCCCTATGTTAATGGCATCTTGTCTACCAGCATGCGAGCCATTTTTCAGGATTTGTGCGTTGAGGCTGACCGGGTTGAGAGGCTGGAGGAAGAGGCATACGTCAAGGCTCAACCAAATGTGCTGGTTTCTACTTAGCTCTCTATCACTAGGATGTAAATTAAGTTTTTTTCACATTGTCATGTACTGGTACTATAATGAAACCATCTCAGGGAGTTGGTTGAATTCTGGATAATAGGCTCGGGCTGTCCTCGTTCCGTAAACCGCCACATCACCGTCACTTCCACGTCACCTCATTTCGCGTCACAATTGCCTTCCCCCTGGCCTGTTGCCAAACCACATGTCACGTGCGCCTCACTTCAGTCACATCCCCTGCTTCCGCACTCAAAGTTTCCCCAAAACCGACCAACCTCTCCTTACCGATGCGCACACCCATGATCCCGCTTTAGCCCCGCCAACACCCCCGAATTTCCCCAACCTTCTCCTGCCCGCCCACGCTTCCCCCATCCGACAACTCCGCTCCACTGCATGAAAGCCCAAGTAACTTAGAAAATTCTGACTGCACCTGTCGATTCCTGTAAGACGCACTTTATTTCTGCACGATTGTCATTTGAGCGTCTCCCCTCTTCAGTCTCGTTTAGCCGCACAACGGTAGTTAATCTGCCACGTTAGGCCACGTGAGGCTGTGATTCCGATGGCGGCTCTCGCGTCCTCCGCGTCTCTTCGCCTCACTGCAGCGCCGCTTGCGGGGAAAACCCAGGCGCGCCTCAGCTCCGCGCAAAGCGAGCTCGCTGGACTTTCGCAAGGCCTTGCGAACATGTCGGTGTCTCGCTCATCCGCACAACCTGCCGTTAGCCGCGTCGTCACGCCAGTCGCAAGTAAGTCTCGTTTCCAGTCTTAGTCGTAGGTGAACCAGGCGAGGGTTTACTCTCGGGTTTAGCGCGTAGTTCTCGCTGGCCGGTTATTCAGCCAGTTTCCGCCTCATCAACAGGCAGTTGTTAAACGGCCATAATCAACGGCGATTATACATAAGGAAGTTGACAATGGATTGCATTCGATACCAACCCTATATCAAGTCTCAACCTGCTGCCGCTCGTTCTCTACATTCCGTACCAACGGCTGCAGCTCATTTCTAGCAACTCGGCGTTGACTTATTATCGTCGTCCGTTGTGCGCGCACGTGCAAGCCAGATCCGCTGTATTGGAAAAGATGAAAGCGTTCATTGTGTCACGCCCCGGATCATTCAGAAACAGCCTGCTGCGTGTGCGACTATGCATTTACGAGAGCCATGGGAGGCAGACGGGTTGCGAGAAGGCGTTTGTGAAAGGCGTCAGTGAAAATGTTTTTTTTTTTTTTTTGTAAGGCATCTGTCAGTGAAACGGGGTCGAGGAGGAAACCTAAAAGGGGCAGAGGGGACCGCCAAACAGAAATGGCGTGTGTGGTTGGAGGAATGAGGAGGGTAACAACCGTTTGGGGGAACAGACCGAGAAGGAGATTAGAATGCAGTAGAATAGCCGAGAGGAAGTTTCTTGAGAGACGTGGATAATGAGACTGAGGAGCGAGAGAGCGAGGGGGAGAAGAGGGGAGGAGGAGTGAGCAACCAAAGGAGAAGGAGCAAGTGGAGGAGACGAGGACGAGGAGGGTTGGGGACGGTGCAGGCGAGGGGGAGGGCAGCGCAGGGACAGGAGGCGGCGGCGGGATCTCAATAGAGGGGATTTAAGGGGAGTGAAACGAGATGGGAGGGTGGGAGGAGATGAGAGGGTGGGAGGAGATGAGAGGGTGGGGGGAGATGAGACCGTGGGGGAGGATGAGGAAGTGGGAGGAGATGAGAGAATGCGAGGAGATGAGGAATTGGAAGGGGTGGATTCAGGAGGCAGTTGGCGTGACAGCAGGCTACTGACCGACTTTTTTTGGCCTCGATTCTCCTCCATCTTCCGCATTTTGCTCCCCCCTCCCACCCCTCCTTTCCGCACCTTCATCTCTTCTCCCCTTACTTCTTACCACCTCCTCCGTTTCTCTATCTTATCATCCGAACTCCCTCCCCCTTTTTCTCCCCCTCTCACCCCGTCATTCCGATCCCCACTCTGTGTCTCATCCCACCTGCCTTGCACAACCCTTTCTTCCTCCCCTATTCCCCCCTTTTTCCCCGTCACCTCCTCCTCTCTGTGTTCCCCACGCTTTTCCCCTCGTTAGCCCTGACCTTCCTCCCTCTTCCCCCTCTCCCTCTCCCTCTCCGTCTCCCTCTCCCATAGCAATAAGAATGCGATCTAATCGGCAGAAGGCAAAACAATGGCTGTTAGGCGCTCCAACCACCCTTCCCTCCTCCGTCCTTCTCCACCTACCTTTTCCTCGCCCCTCCCCCCTCCCACACACACTCCCTTCTTCTCCCTCTTTCCTAACCTGTCATTTCGCTACCCGCAGCGTGTGCGACCTGACAGGCAAGAGGCGCTACCACAGGGATTCCCCTGGGTTCTAACCATCTTCCCCCCTCCCTCCACCTCATTCGCTCCCTCTTGACCCTTCCATCCCCCCCCTCTCCTGCCGCCATCACCGTCCCATGCCCTTGCTACTCCCCAGAGCGAGTGTGTGACCTGACGGGCAAGAGGCGCAACAGCGGCTATTCAGTGTCTTTTTCCACCACCTTCCTCAATCCCTCTCCCTCACTCTCTCCCCCTTCCCCCTTTCCGTTCCCCCCTCCCCTGCTGCCCCCACCATCCCATTCCCTGCCACTCCCCAGAGCGAGTGTGCGACCTGACAGGCAAGAGGCGCAACAACGGCTATTCAGTGTCTTTCTCGAACCACCGCACCAAGAAGGTGCAGCAGCCCAACCTGCAGTACAAGCGCGTGTGGTGGGAGGAGGGGCAGCGGTACGTGCGCCTCAAGCTCAGCACCAAGGCCATCAAGACACTCGAGTGGAAGGGGCTGGATAAGATGGCCAAGGAGGCTGGCATTGACCTTAGCAAGTTCTGAAAAGTCTACAGTACGCTACTGAAATGTATTTTGTATTCTTACTGTGCAATTTATGTGGTGCAGGTTCAGTAGAGCATACATAATCCAAAGGGTTCCAATCCAATCGTATATAATGTGCATTCATGCTCATCCAACCAGCTCCCTGTAATTATTTTATGCCAGGCTGTAAAATAAGAGTGTCCAGGGTGTAAACATTTTACGGTATGCTGTATGTCAGAAAAAAAAGCAGCAGGCTGCAGGTGTAACATCTAAAGTCGCTACAGGTCATTTCATTCGATCCTTCAAATTATGAAATTTTTTGAAAGTGTGTAACACTTTCTAAAAATGTGTATTTTGAAAGCGAAGCTGCTTGTAATGCAGCAATGGCAACGGCGAAGTGCTAGACGCTCTTCGCCAACTATACAGCAGGGGGTGGAGGCCATTTGGCCTCCACCCACGTCTTCGTTTGAAATTTCAAATGTCTTATTTCCCACCCACCCACCCTAGCAAAAATTGCATGTTGTCATGTGTAATGTAGGTACCATATATATCCCGGACGAGAATGATGTAATGCCCATTTGAAACGAAGCTCGTTGCCATTGCAAACACAAGAAAGCAAGCTTTCTAAATATCATAATTTTTGAAAGTGTATTCACTTTCTAAAATTTTGTATTGTGATAGTGAAGCGATTGCCAACGCAGCAAAGGCAGCGTCGCATCGCTACTCGCCTTCTTTTGGCTACAAAAGAGGGGTTGGAGGCCATTTGGCCTCACCCACGTTTTGAGTTCCCCACCCTCCCACCCTATGTAGTGAAATTGCATGTTGTAGACCTTTGGACGAGATTGATGTACTCTACCCAGATGAAATGAAGCACGATGCCTATTACAAAGTTGCAATAAGCAAGCTTTCACAATCCAAGGGTTTTATAAACTTTCCCACTCACGATACTCTTTCCTTAACCAAGAATTGTAATATGTGTAAAAGTGATTATGTTGGGCAAGTGGGAACGCATTCCAGTATTCATTACACTCTCGTATACAGCATGCCATGTCAGCCACATCTCACACTATGTACACAGTGGTACTAAACCCAATCATACCCAAACAAGTAAGCGAAGCCACTCAGAAGCCCACCACCTGCTCAATGAGCTTAGGCATCTCCTCCTCCCCTTCCTCCTCCTCTCCCTTGCTCTTCCTGGGCGGCAGGATGCCAAACTCGCTCTGCCTAGTAGCCCGCAGCTTCTCCAGCAGCTTCTCATCGGCGTTGAAAGCGGCGCGCTGCACGGAGGCAGGAAGCATGCGGAATACCGAGTTCGCCCCCGCCAGGAACCCCGCCTGCGGGCGGCTCTTGGGAATCATGGCAATGCACTCCAGACCCTCGCCATAGGCCAGCTGCACATAGAAACGAGAGGAGAGAGATGGAGAATCAGAACAAGATGCAATAATGTAGGAGAAGGAAAGGTACCAGTAAGCGAACCTATCCACTCACAGCAGCGTGTGGGAAGCTTGCAGGCACAACCACAAAGTCCCCCTCCTTCAAGTCGTGTTGCAGCGCCTGCCTGCCGTCGGGGAAGGCGATCTCCTCATGCCCCTTTTTGAGTCGACTCAAAAATCGCCTTGCCCTTGGTGACATACAGCATGGCCGCCGCATTCGCCAGCCATCTCGGCGCCGTCATGGTGTTGCCCTCCAGGCTGAAGCGCGCCACTGCAAAGCCCACTTTGCGGAACGCCGGCAGCTTGTACCCGTTGGCCGCGGTCACGGTGCCGCCACGCTTCACGTAGATGTCCGGCTGGCGGGTCTTGAGGTTGTATGTGAGCACTACAAAGATGCTCTCACTACGCTTCGCCCCCTTGCCAACGTGCGGCTGCTCGTTGCCCCCATGCGCCTCCTCATCTTCCCCCTCATTCTCCTCTGCCTTTTCCACCTCCTCCTCATTCTCATTCTCTTTCTCATTCTCCTCCTTGTCATTACCTCCTTCTCATTCTCCCGGTAGTTTTCCAGCTCTGCCCGAAGCTGCGGAGTGACTTTGACAAAAACGCTCTCCTGCTGCGCCTGCAGCAGCTGCTGCACCTCCCCCTCCTCCACGTCCCACGCCTGTGCCAGCAGGTCTGAGCTGCTTGGTGGGAGGATTGGGAGGAAGGAGGGGGGAGGCAGTGAAGTAGCAGGATGAAGACAAGGTTGTGAACTGACATCCAACAAAAGCTACTGGGGGCGACATTTGATTGAGGCGCCTCAAAAGCTACTGGGGGTCAATCACCTCATCCAATGTCACTCGAATGCCTAGTCTCATGTCACCTGAAGCCGTGGTGAACTCACCTGAACCCATGCAGAATGCTTCCAAAATCCTCCTGAGCGCCCATGAGGTGGAAGGCGGTGTAGCGGCCGGCATCACTTGGCGCCCTTGGAGTTTGAAGTATCGGCCACAGAGAGAACCTGAAACGGCTGCTCGCCGTTGTTCCAAATCCAACACGCCCACCCCCTGGGAATCGCAAAGGCGTCTCCCTTCCTCAGCCGCCTGAACAGAGCAGAACCAGGGGACACATTTCATGGAGTAGACAGAAACGGCTGCTGAGGTGAACGCAAACAGATGTAGGCGGAACAAGAAAAGCAAGCGAGAGGGAATTATCGAGACAAAGAGTTAACTTGATGCACCGTTCCTACAGGTGACGGTGCTGAAATGTGGTCCCATGAGGAAAAAGGACTTCTTAAGGCCTGTAGCACGTTCTCATGGCTACCTGAGATTCGTTGGTGCTCTCATGGGGCTGATAAGGCCTGCCATAGCCTCGCCCTTCAACACGTAATAGGCCTGATGAATACGCACAAGGCACGGTGAGAGAAGAAGGCACATGAGAGAGGAATGCACGGTGAGGGCACGGTGAGGGCACGCAACAGCAGAGCAAGTCTTCGAATCATCCAGCGACGTGAAATTAGGAGTGTTTTGAGACATCTGTGAGAGAAGAAGGCACGTGAGAGAAGAATGTGCGGCGAGAGCACGCAACAGCAGAGCAAGTCTTCAATTCAAATCACCCAGCGACAAACCAGCATCATGGCAGAGCATGAAGAGGGAGAGAACAAAACCACAGAAAACATATTGGTTTGCAATGGTACCTTTGGGGAGTTGGCATAGAGCGGCAACTCAAGGTACTGGCTCTGCACTGTTTGTTATCAGCGCCTGGGATGAGACGATTTTTAAGTCGACTAAACGGTACCTGTGGGGAGTTGGCATATAACGGCAGCTCAAGGTACTGGCTCTGCACTGTTATCAGTGCCGCCGCCACATGCGCTGCCTGGAAGCATGGTAGGAAGAGAAAGGGACATATCACGAGTTCCCCTCAATTTGTGGTACATAACACAAATGCAAGTTCCGTGGCCACATGATTGACAGGCGTTGCCTGCTGCTGTCTGAAAGGCGTTCCCCCTCTCACCCGCACCTGCTCTCACCCGCACCTGCTCTCACCCGCACCTGCTCTCACCCGCACCTGCTCTCACCCGCACCTGCTCTCACCCGCACCTGCTCTCACCCGCACCTGCTCTCACCCGCACCTGCTCTCACCCGCACCTGCTCTCACCCGCACCTGCTCTCACCCGCACCTGCTCTCACCCGCACCTGCTCTCACCCGCACCTGCTCTCACCCGCACCTGCTCTCACCCGCACCTGCTCTCACCCGCACCTGCTCTCACCCGCACCTGCTCTCACCCGCACCTGCTCTCACCCGCACCTGCTCTCACCCGCACCTGCTCTCACCTGCACCTGCTCTCACCTGCACCTGCTCTCACCTGCACCTTCTCTCACCCGCACCTGCTCTCACCTACACCTGCTTGAAATCTTCGCTCCACACCTCCACGCGTCCTCCGCTGCCCCGAACCCTCTCCTTGGGCTGCCCGGGAAGAAATCCCTGCTCCTGCATCAAGCCACCCACCAGCAGCCCCAGCAGCAGCGCCACCAGCAGCGCCCCCAGCACCGCCAGCACAGCCGCGAATCTCCCCATGCTAGCTCGGCCCACTTCCGCAATGCAAGAAGCGCGAGTGCAAGAAGGCGGTCGCAGAGCAACCAGCCCGACTAGTCTGGCCCACGCCTTGCGGCCCACTACCGCCGTTCACGAAATCCGACTGCGAGCCGCTCGTGGAGAAACCAGCCCGGGCACTCGATTGATCGGTAGCTGGCTCGATCTTCTCTTCTCTGCAGCGCGAGCTTTCCGGGCCGCGCAGGCGTCACCAGTTTTGGGGCGCCTCAAAAGAAACCAGCCCGGGCACTCGATCGATCGGTAGCTCTGGCTCGATCTTCTCTGCAGCGCGAGCTTCTCGGACCACTCCACGCAGGCGTTACCAGACTCGGCGGATACTAAGGAAATCACAGGGTCGCGGCCTGAGGGATTTGCTACGCGAAAGACTCCTTCCTGAAGGCGCTACAGGGTATTCTTTAGAATTATAAAAAATGGCCTGATGGATTTGCTACGAGGAAGACTCCGACCTGAAGGCCGCGCTAGGGGATTCAGACGCAGATGCGCGCGATTCGAGCGTGGTGAGAAGGCGGCGCGAATCAAGTGTTTATCAAGTCGCGCGTGGTCCGTCCGTCCGTCCGACCGACTTGCTCACGGCGGTCGAGCTCGGGCTTCCGCGGCCGTCGCCGCAACGGAACGCAGCGGAACCCGCGCAGCGGCGGGGCGGCCTCCTCGCATCCGTCCGTCCGTGCAGCCCCGCGTCGACTCGCCTCGCCGGCGATGCGCGCCGGGTCCGATCGCCCTGCCTCTCCATCTCGTCATGCTGAAGCATCTCGATACTAGCACGCCCGCCAGTCATGTGACGGCCACGCAGCATGCGAGTTTTCTTACTTGCTCGCACGCGGTCGCATGCTCACAGGGCCGACGCGTGGTGTGACCCAACCGTGGC